CAGGGCTTCCCGTCCGCTCAGCCGTACTTAAGCCACACGCCGGGAGGTTAGTAGTTGGGTGGGTGACCACCAGCGAATCCCTTCTGTTGTATGTACCCTTTATCTCTTTTGTTTTTTGTCTTTTTCTTGCGCTAATCGGGGCCCTGTTAGTAATTCTCTCTCCCCACCCATTGAAGCTTTCGCGATCTTGATGGTACTGGCCCTCGGCAAGTGTCGCAGAGCGTTGTCTCTATAGTGAAGGCGGCGATGGACCCTTGAGACTTGTTATCAGTGGTACAGTAACACGAACTCAAAGTTGCCATGGCTGTCTCGACATTCGTGTCATGGGCTGGAATGGGGATGCCTGCGGGATTATGCCTGCGACGGTGCAGCAGTGATATCACATCAAGCACAGAAGAATCAGCGCTTCCATACAACATAGTCTAGGTCTTTAGTTGTCTCAACCTTGTATAGATAGCCGATATTATTCTCGGGCTACTAGAATATAGCTCACAATACCGGGGGTCATCAGTTATTTCGTTTCCTACTTTCTTGGTTCTGAGCTGTCTGCTTTCCTTCGTCTTGTATGATGACCGGTTTGTGCTTCGTGAGACCAGTGTTCAAGTTTGTACCAACATCGGACAACTCTCAGCGACAATTCTTTCCGGATGTTTGAGATCATGTCAGCCTATCTAGTACAGCACGTAGGACGTAGATTCCGAAAATGGAGTTGAGATTTACCAATGTGTGCATGCAGGCTTAGGATCTTTGATAAATGCGAGACCGGCTTTTGTTGTAGTGCTATCCCGGCCTATTCAAAAAAATTACAGTATCTATCCAATCGTGCATGAGGCACTTTGACCGAAATGTGCGGCTATCCAAGTAGATGGAAGTCCTATGTTTTCATGGTGACTCTTCCATGAATGGAGGTTCAAGGAAGGAAAGGCATGCAAGACCTAATTCGGGCGGTAAGTACGAGACCCTTCGGCTCTGTGTCCTGGAGAATCTTCCGAACAACACAATCAAGCATTGAAGATTGCTGAACTCCAGGAACAGACAGGAAATTACACTACATTCTGGTCTGGAAACTTGATGTAACCCACCCCGACCACTAGTATTTGACAAAGAAGGACTTGGGTCAACCTCCCAATAAAATACTATCCGTGAATTGACATTGTACATACGACCATAGGGTGTGGAAAATAGGGCTTCCCGTCCGCTCAGCCGTACTCAAGCCACACGCCGGGAGGTTAGTAGTTGGGTGGGTGACCAC